GGGTTGCCCCCGAAGTGATGCTCGGCCACGACTACGCGGCTGCTGCCGATATCTATTCATTCGGCATCGTTCTTGCGCAGCTGAGCTCGCTTGAGACCCAGCCATACGCTTTCGAGCCGTGCAGCCGCTACCTCCTACCGTTTCGAATTGCCCACGAAGGGCTTCGTCCTGCGATGCCCTCGACGTGTCCCCAGTGGTATGCAGATCTTGTCGCGGCCTGCGTGCACACCGAGCCCGACGCGCGGCCGACAGCGGATGGGATTGTCGCGCGTCTCCAAGCCCGTCTTTCGGCCGGTCTGCGGCGGATTGACGACAATGAGTTGGTGGAGCATACGCTCGTCGCGTCCAGTCGATCCAGCATTGTGATCCACGGATCCCACGTCGGGTCGCCGGTGGCGATCAAGTACTTTCTTCAACGGACACCGCGTCAGGTTAACGAAATTGTCGAGCGCATGGCGGCGCTGCAGTCGGCGCACACAGTGCCGCTGCTTGGTGTGACCTCGGCGCCAGCTCTCGTCATGCGCTACATGCCGTTCAACCTCCGCACGTGGCTCCAAGACGGACCGATTGGGTGGAGGCGGACACGCCTGGTGGCGCTCCGACTTGCCGAGGCCATGGCCTTCCTCCACAATGCCGGTGTCGTCCACGGGCACCTTGTGCCAACCAACGTGTTTCTGGATGCTGACGACGGGGTCCGGCTCAGCGACTTTGGCGTGGACCATGACGAGCTTGAGTCGAGTACGATCGACGATGACGCTGCGGGGTTTTGGACGGCGCCAGAGAGGCTTCAAGGCGAGGCCGCCTCTGTCGCAGCAGATGTCTTTGGATTGGGTCTGCTTTTCGCCCTTCTCGAAACACAGCAAGAGCCGTATGGCAGCATGCGCGAGAATGCTTCTTGCCGCCTCATGCAAATCGTGGCCGGCAACCTGCGCCCGTTGTTTACTAGCTCGTGTCCTCGGTGGTACAGCCACCTCGCGCTCGATTGCATGGCCCACGACCCGTCGCACCGCCCGACGGCTACACAAGTCGTTGCGACACTGGTTTCCAATGTAGAAGACTTTCTTTGAAATAGAAAAAGAGGAGCTCGGTCGAGGTTGTTGGAGCCACGTGCGGAGGTTGTATTGCATCTCAGCCAATTCAAGGGCCGGCGCTGAGGGCACACCGAGTGGCGGCACCTGGACCAGGTCCCTGTTATGCCTAGGACGCTTGCTCGTGCGCGAGGGTATCAACATCCCAAGCTAGATCCGTCAGCTCTATGTTTCTACCAACAAAACGAAATTTATCGTGATGTACTTACTGCATGACACTAATAGTCGCTACCGCCACCAAACATCTCCATCAACACCACTCGCTCCTGAAGGTGAAAGCTCTCGAGTCGTGGACCGCGTTGAACGGACGTGATGCAGGTGGAGAGACCGCGCGGTGCCTCCGAGATATGGAGGTGCGAGAGCCGTGGCAGCTGAAGTGCAGCGACGACGATGGTTGTCGCGACGACCAAATCCAAATGGCCCGCGTCGATCGAAAAGTGCGTCAAATGCGCCGAGGCAAGTGCGTGGACCACCAAGCGGCCATGTGCATCGAGGTCGGCCATGGCCACGTCGCGCGAGTGCGGGCTTGTCGGTTCGCTCTTGAAGAGACGCAAACGGCGCAAATGACGTGGCAGCGGCTCCGACAAGAGCGCGGGCACCAAATTCTCGTCCCAGCCGAGCTCGAGCTCCCGCAGCGTTTTGCAGGAGCGCAGCGCAGTCGCAAGCGCCGTGGCGTCTGTGGCGCTAACGTGGACGTCGGACAAGTGCAGGCGCGTCGCTGGCCGCGTTGAAAGCCATTGAATGAGGGACTTGACGCCGCTGGGTGTCGCGAGAAGGCGACCACCGACGAGGCGCAGGTCCACAAGATGCGACTGGAGCAACGCCTGCCACACGGCCGGCTCGAGCGACGACGGAAATGCATCGTCATGAAAGATATACTCGGGCGGGTCCATCTCGATCGTGCACTTGAGCTGGGAGGTGATGACGCTGACGGCGCGCAGCCTTGGCGCCGACGCCAAAGCAGCCGCGAGGCGAGCGATGCCAAGCGCCGTGGCCTTGGCCTGCAGATACAGCGTGCAGCTCGTCCAGACGCCTTTAGCGACGTTGATTGTCGCTGGCGCCATCCACCCGACAGCCGCACCGTCCTGGACATGCGGGCGCTCGCGGCGCAACGCGTCGATGCTCTCGTTGCGCTGAAAATACGTGTCGACATCCATCGTCCAAAGTCCCTGGGCATCGACACTGGTCCACACGTCGCCAAAGATAGAGACCTCGTTGCGCACGACGTCGTACTGTACGACGGGCCAAAGGTCGTTGGGCAGCACAAACCAGTCGTCGACGAGGGCAAGGAAGTCGTGCCATGGGGCATCGAGGTCCGCGGGGTTGATGGCCTCGAGCAGCCTGCGCAGCGTGACGCCGCTAGAGACGAAGCCAGCGATGGCTCGAAGCAGCTCGGGCGTCGAGACGACGGTCATCGCGCTCCGGTTCATGTGTGTTACCGGCCGCCAGCGGCAAGCGATCCGCTGCTGCCGGGTTGTGAAGCTCGCTTGGTGGCGTGTTTCTAGTCTTTTCCGGATGCATAATTGGTTGTATCCGGATTCGAAAAGGCAGACTGCCACGAATTACGACGGTCATTGTATGGGCTCGCAGCTGCATTGGTAAGACTTGCGCAGGCGATATTGCAGGGTATCACTTGATAATTTACCCAGTCTACCAAGTCTCAACGAGCAGCTCATCGTTGTATCAACCAGCTTCCTACGTAGTTACAACACGAGTACGCTTGGGACTATCAACTTGTCGCTCGTTCAAGACGCTGGGTTGCAAGGACCGATGCGGTGGCACTTGACCTTTTTCTACGTTCTGCCAATAGTATGGTCACGATCCGCGTCGCGATGGCCCAAGAGCTCCGAGGTTCCGACCTCAAGAAGCGGAAACAACTCGTTTTTGCTGTGATTCACTACGCCGGGTACTCTGCCACGTCGGACGTTGTTTGCAACCGAACCGGTGAAGTGTGGTGGATGGTTGAGCTCTCCATCGACGCGGACGTCGTCGACATCACGCAACATCCAACGATCGAAGTGTATGTATTCTGCGCCGACTCGTGGGGCGCTCGTGAATCGCTGCTCGGGTCGTCTCAAGTGCGCATGCCTCGGTACGGACTGGCATTCCACGAACTCACGCCGCTGTTGCAGAACCAAGTCACGACTGGGCAGCTCCTCGTGTTTGTGGACGCGACGGCGCACTGGAGTGCCGCAGACGTCGACCTGGAGCACTGGAGCGCGCTGACACTGGCGCCAAAGGAAGACCTTGAACAGCCGTCCAGTGAAGCGACGCCGCATGCTGCCGAGCTCTCTCCTCGGTATGCGTCCGAGGGCACGACCGTGGAGGAACCAGAACCCGAACACGAAAATGGCATCGACGAGACATCACTCAGCGACACAAAAGTCTCTGAATCCCGACGCGCATTGACAATGCCTCAAGACAACGAGAGCCACGAAGGGTGCGAACCATCCATCGATGCATAAGTGGCTCTTCTCGATTTAATATAATTGTTGACTCGGAATTCACGCAAAAACGATGCTGGGCTGCACGTACCGGGTGTTTGGGAAGCAAATGTGGCAGTCTTTAGCGTTGCGTTGCCTTTGAGCTATAAAACGAAAACATCGGATTTGCAGAGAATGATGGCGCGGCTCCTTGCAATGGCCCTCGCAAGGAGCAGCGTTTGGACTGACATTAGGTCATACTGTCGGTCCCAACAAAAGGAACGCTGTCTGCCCGCTGCTGTCTGCTCAAGTTTCCAGCGCTTTCGATTGGTCGCGATCAAGTGATTTCATTGGTTCGTACGAGGTGATAGACGGCAAGAGCCAATAGGAGAGCGTCGGAGCGTCCCAGGAGGACAAAAGGCCACAAATACTGGCGGAAGCATCAGCAACGGCACTTTGCACATTGCCTGCCGGCTACTTTTGTTTCTCATACGGCGTTGCAAGGTATTGCTGCTGGATATAAAAGAACCAGTGTAGTGGTTACAAGATCGACTAGGAGAGTCATTGCCGCGCAACGATTGCAGCCTGCATGCACCGATTCGTGAACCAGTGGTAACACGTGTATTGGCAGCGACAACGGGAGCTATGCCTACGTACACCTTGCGCTTTAGTAGTACTGGTAGGAAGTACAGTAGTTTCGACCACACAAATGTAAAGTGTGGGGAAGGCGTCGCAAGCTGGCGCGACGAGGTCGACCGCCACTTGCACCGTCCCGAGTCGGACTTGATGCATCGCTTGCAAAACGAACCCTTGGCTCCCATCGTCCAAGAGGCTCGTGGACTTGTCATACGGACTGGTGTAGCGAAGACACGATCCTTGCAGCGATATGGACGACTGCATGGACGTCCACAAACATGGAATTCGTGGCCGCCCGGTACTGCAAGCTCTCTCAGTCTTTTCTCGAACGCGCATTACACTGTACCAGGATATCGCTTCCCATCTCTGGCCACATTGCACACGATTGTGTCATATGACCGCCTTTCGCGTCGTCAGTGAGCAATTTGTCCGCATACATGCCGATCATCCGGATAAAGATACGCTTTGCCGGTGCTCGGGCCGTGGAATTCGCTTGCATGAGTACAAGAAGACTGCCATCGTGCATGTCGTAAAACAATCCACTGCACGATCTCGCAGTCGATCCGGTACCGCTCTTTCATGTGCCGGCCACCACTTTGCAACGTCCCGAACGCCGCCCACATCCCCGATGCTCGTGGTCGTCCATGTGGCCGAGGCCAAGGACCTCGAGAGTAACAAGATGTTCCGCCACGTCAACCATGCCTACGTCAACCTCTACTACGCTCGCAAAAAGATCACGTCCGACGTCGCGCACAAGCAGAAGAACGCGCCACGCTGGGGCCTCAAGAAGCGCTTCGCCAACATCAACCCGGCGCGCGACAGCACGATTCGCATCGACGTCTTTGACCAAGGCCAGTGGGGCCGCAGCGAGATGTTCATCGGCTATTGCGAGGTCGCCGTGCCCGTGCGACCAAAGCGCGTCGACTTCTGGGTGCCCATCAAGGTAGAAGACGCCACCACGGGCAGCGTTCTTGTGCACATTGACTGCATCGCCGAGCCGAGCGAGATCCTGCCTCGTTCGCAAAGGGATCTGGACTACGCAATGCCGCCGCGGCAAGTGGCCCCGTACCTGCTCCCGATGCCGCCGCCGCAAGTGGCCCCATACCAGCTCCCGATGCGCCGCATGGGCTCTCTCAGTGACTCGTTCCTGCAGCTCGCGGCAGCCCTCCCCGAGACAGTGCCACGCATCGAGCCGACCGAGCTATGCACGTGCGACCACCTCGGGAGCGGCGCCTTCGGCAACGTGCACAGTGGCAGCTACAAGGACTTGACGGTGGCCGTCAAGACCTTCCACATCAAGTGTGGTGACGAAATTGAGACGTTCAAGAAGGAAGTCAACGTCATGGCCGGCCTCGACTCGACGCACACCGTCCAGCTCCTCGGTATCTCGCACGCCGCAAACGACCAGCCGCAGATCGTCATGGAGTTCATGGACGGCGGCAACCTCGACATGCACATCAAGTCGCTGGCAGCTGCGCGAGAGCACAACGTGAGCAAGGTGCTGCATCTCGCTTGCGGTATTGTCAAAGGGCTCGCGTACCTACATGCCAACAAGATCATCCACCGCGACCTCAAGCCGGCCAACGTCCTGCTTAGCGCCGACAAGACGGTCGTCAAGCTCGGTGACTTTGGCATCTCGCGCGAAGAAGACGTGAAGGAATCGATGACCAACGGCGTCGGCACGACGCTGTGGATGTCGCCCGAGGTCATGCAAGGCGGCAGGTACTCGGTCGCAGCCGACATGTACGCCTTCGGCGTCATTCTCACGGAGCTCGAGACGCTGCGAACGCCCTATGCAGGCCTAAATCTCAGAAAGTACGCGCTCCAAGACAAGATCGCCAAGGAGGGGCTTCGGCCGACGACGAGCGCCACGTGCCCGCCATGGTACGCGAGGCTGGCGCAGGATTGCATGCAAGCAAACCCAGACAAACGTCCATCGGCCGTCGACGTCGTCGGCATCCTCGAGGCCCACATGTCGTCACCACCCTGCTTTCAACTGATTCCCGAGGCGTTGCTCCGCGACATAGTGCCGTTCACGTCCAGCAAGAGCAGCGTTCTTGGCCGTGCGACGCTCGCATGTCGTCCCGTCGTCCTCAAGACGTTTCCATCGATGAATCCCGACGTCTTTGAAGACACGGTGGATGTGATGAGGGCCGTTGCGTCGCCACACACGGTGCCTCTGCTCGGCACGACGTCCCTCTCCAGCACAGCCATCATGGGTCTCGCATCGCCTTGCGTGCTCGTCCTCGCCTACATGCCTGGCGGCAACCTCCACAAATGGCTCACGCAGCGCTCCAACGTCGACTTCCTTGACACGGCGCGGACTATCACCGAGGCGCTAGCCTACCTCCATGCGAAGAAGGTGGTGCACGGCAACCTTACGCCCTCCAACGTTCTCTTTGATGCGGTCGGCCAGCCCAAGCTCACTGACTTTGGCTACGAGCGCGACGAAGACATGATGACGACCAACGGCGGCAACGCGACGCACTGGATGGCGCCCGAGATCTTCCACGGCAGTTTGCCCTCGTCCGCGTCGGATGTCTACTCGCTCGGTGTTATCTTGACGCAGCTCGAGACGGGCCGCGAGCCGTACTGGGACTTCATAGGCAATCTGCAGCGCCGCGTCGTTCAGATCGTGACGGGCGCGCTGCGGCCGTCGCTGAGTGCGTTGTGCCCTCCCTGGTATCGCAAGCTGGCGCAGGCGTGCATGGCCGGTGATGCGATGCATCGGCCGTCCGCTGCCGAGATAGTCAGCGAGCTCGTCAAGCATACTGCGAAGCCCTAGTTTTTATATATATTAAATTGTGATCATCACGGTCTCTAGGGGCGGTAGATCGTTTGTTGGATTGGTTTGAGGCTTGGCAATACATATTTTTATGTACATGACCAATGAGAATGTAGATGTCGAGCTCATTTTGTCCAATCACATTCCGTGGCACACACATGGGACGGTAGTTAGAATCTTCTGTGGGCGGGTGAAACGAGGTGTTCCTGCATGAGACGCGTACTGGCACGAAATGTGAACCACTTTTTAGCAATGAGCTAGCTACTTTAGCTACTCACAATCCGTTCACGCTAATTCAACGGCACTGTCTCTCGAGAAGAGCTGGCTCGTCGGGAATGGCCAGCTCCGCAACGCAAGCTTATTCTGATTTGCTTGAAAAGACTAGTCAATTCCAATCACTCCAGTCCCAACGAACAAAACACACTTCCAACGAGCCGATGGAAATTCCAGCCAACGACGACATCGGCCTCACGGAGACGCTCCGCCAAGCGGTCGAGGCCTCCATGCACCTCCAAGGCGCCATCCGGGCGACGAACGAAGCTGCGATCAACCTCGCGGTAGGGCATTTCAACAAGCATGCGAGCGCGCTGGCTTTGCAGCACTGGGTCGTGGACCAGAGCAAGCTCACCGACTCGACGACGCTGCTCCAGCGCCTCCCCGTGCTCGAGAAGATGCTGACCCAGATGCGCTGCGAGGTGTCGGTCGTGGGCGATGCGCCTTCGGACGACCAGGTCATTGCCCGTGCTAGCGGTGGCGCCGCCCTCTTTGGTCACTGCTTTGGATTCCGCGGCTCATCCAAGGGCGTCGCCATGACCATCTTGCAGCCACCGATCGAGTGCGAGCTCGAAGCACCCACGATGCGCACGGGTATCGCGGAAGTCTGGTTTGCCAGCGCCGTCGAGGCCAAAGCCTTTTGCACCGCCGTGCGATCGAGCGGCCACGCAAAAGCACCACGTGACGACACTCATTTGCCACCGTACATGGCGTCCGTCGTGCAAGTGAACTATGCCTGCGTACCCCTGAAATCGTTCGACTTGGACGTGTTGTCAGCGCCGCTCACCGCATCGGCGATGGCCGAGGCCGCGAGCGTCACGGACGCAGCATCAGCCAAGGAGTTTCTTTACGACTTTGGCTCGCACGTGCGCAGCGGGATCTTCCACGTCGGCGGCATCTTTTGGAAGACAGTCGACATCTCGACCGACGTGGACGTCGCGACCGCGCAGCTCCAGGCGATCTGCCCGGCCCGTCTCGCGGCCGGAGATCTCTCGATCAACTACAGCAGCTTTCCATACCAAAGCCGCATCGACGCGTGCGAGCGCACATTGCAGAACAAGCTCCGAACACGGTGCAATGTTACGACGCTGATCGAGTGCACCGGGCCAGACGCACTGAGCGTTGCGATCTTCCAGCAGCGACTCGCCCTCGACCGCACGACGTGGCATGTCATTGGCTTTCCAACAACGCGCGTCGGCGTTTGGGACCTACTTGCAGCCGCAGGTCTTGAGCGGGCTGCCAACCTTGTGCGCGATGCGTGGCTCGACCTCGTCTCGGGATGTGCGATGACACCGGACGTTGCGGCGGCGGTGTCTGCGGTGTATACCGACGCATGGGTGGCCGACCCGGCCTTTGGTACGGAATGCAAGCGCACCAATGTCAGCAGCGCGGACGAAGCTGAGAGAACCATTGCTCAAATGCTGGACGCTGCGACCACTGGCAACGTCGACGGCCTCGCGCTGGTCGAAGTCATCTTGCTCGCGCTTCGCTTTGACTCTACGCTCAAGGGGACGGTTTTGGTCGACTGCATGCGGGACCCGCGTCTGCATACGGCGTTGCGCCGACTCGTCGCGGCCAGCGACATGACGGCACTGACCGAGCTCGGTGCGATCTACGGCCGCGTTCTCGGAGCTGTGCTGGCCACAGCGGGTATCAACCTGGATGCGACGGTGGACGAAACACTGAAGCGTGCCGGGCGGCTGGCCGAGCTCAAAAAGGGTGTTGGCAAGCTTCTCGCGCCTCTCTACGACTGGCAAGTACCCGAGATGGACGCCCGCGACGTTCCCATCGCTCTGAAGCTCGTCCATCGGGCATTCTCCAACGCGGCGATGCCCGACGGAGTGCTTTTGACGCGCCGCGTCGCCGAGCTGCTCATTCAAAATGGCACGCCGGCCCCTCCAGAACTCTGGGGTATTGCGCAGAAGTTTGGCTGCTCGAAGGACGGCTTTGCTGCGAAGCTCAACACAGCGCATGTTTTGGCCATGGCCGATGCAATGATGTTGGCGCTCCATGACGGTGTGGCGGTCAACGGCTCGGACGACGACATGCCGCCAGTTCAAGTCAAGCGTGAGGCCGCACCCGTTGTCGTCGATGCACCCAACACGCCCGCCTTGCGCTCGATAAGCCATCTCTTGACGGTCGTCTCCAAGCCAAACAAGACAACGGACCTCCCCGGGCGCCTTTGGTACACGCTCAAACACCGTCTGTGCTTGGTCAAGGAGCTCTACACCACAATATCGGGCGTCAAACGCAAGTACGCGGATCGGCGGGTGCAGGATGATTCGCCTCCTGGCCCCGTGGTGTCGGATGCGCTCTTGACCCTCGTGGCCTCGCTGACGCCGGCCGCGCGCGCCCAAGTGCACCGTCTTCTTCTCGACCGCCGCTACCTCGTGCCCTTTCTTGTGCCGTCGACAGGCAATGGGCTTCGGTCCGAAGCTCGCGCGCTGAGCCTCGTGGAGACGTGTCTCGTCGACGGAAGAGCCTCGCTGATGCGCGATACCTCGGTCACGCGCGTGGCGGTCGTGTCGGAGCAGCCCGCGAGAAGCAGCAAAACCAAGGACTGGATCAAGAGCGTCTTCCACGTCGACTCGGTGCACTGCCTCGACCGTGCGCACAGCAAGAACGTCACGGACGCCCCAGTGGTCGCCGAGCTCGGCTGGGGCTTTGTCCGGAATGTTCAAGAGAGCACGGAGTTTACGACCGTCATGGTGCTCCACGTCATTGGCGACTACATGCACCTCGAGGCGTTCATTACGCAGTTTGCCGACGTTTTGGTCGTCGACGCGGGGTCGGAGCCCAGAATGCGCATGACGCTACCCCGGGGCACGGTGCTGCAGTGGCGCGTCTCGGACAAATACAAGAACGATATTCCTCTCGTCCAGGAAGCGCACATGATTGCAGTCGCGCTCGCGTGTCCCATGTCGACGTCCTTCCAGCGCATCTCCAACTACATTTTGCGCGAGCCGAGCGATGCGCCCAAGCTGCCAGTCGGCCAGCTGACACTGCCAAGCCTCGTGCAGCGGGAGCCTCCACCGCGAGAGCGCGTAGCGCGCCTGCTGGCCGACACGGACTTTGCGACGCTTCGCACCGAGACCTTGGTGCTCCAGCAGCGCTTTGCCCGCGAGTCGGCTCTGCGCAGTGCGCTGCAGCGTGAGACGAGCGTTCCCAACCAAGAGTTGCTGCGCCAGCAGATCGCCTCGAGCACAGCTGTGCACAAGAAGATCATTCGCCGCGTCTTCCGTGTGCCCGTGCTCGAGTACTTTATGCACGTTCTCGAGCGGCCGACCGTCGCGGACCGCGAGATGCGCCTCATCGACCTCGAGCGTCGACTGGCCGAGTGCTGCAAAGCCATCCCGGCCGCAGCGCATGATGCGTGCAGTGGAGCGTATGCCGCTCGCAGTGCCGTCGACAACGCGGCCACGCGCTCGGCGTATGCATCCGCCGTTGAGACACGGAGCAACATGGTCACCGGTGTCGAGCATCTCTGGCGCGAGCTCTCGCACATCTTCGCCGCCGACCCGGACGTGTACAGAGAGCTTCCGCGACTTGCGGTCCAGCACCTCGTCGACGGCTTTCCGTTGGAGCTCATGGACGGTGACGCCGGCATGGTCAACGACAAGTGGATCCGCGCTGTGCTGCACTGCCTGGAGGATACGCTGCCCGTGAACACTCGCGTGTTTGTGCTCTCGGTTCTCGGCGTCCAGTCGTCGGGCAAGTCGACGCTGCTGAACTGCATGTTTGGCGTCCGACTCCGAACGAACGTTGCGCGGTGCACGCGCGGTGTCAACCTGCAGCTTCTCGCTTGCGACAACGGCGGCGCCTACGACTATATCTTGCTACTGGACACGGAAGGCCTTCAGTCGCCCGAGTTCGTCGGCGTCCAAGGCAACGTGTGGCGCGACAACCGCATGGCGTCCGTGGCGATCTTGCCTGCCGATGCGACCATCATCTTGACAAAGGGCGAGTCGACCAGCACGATCAACGACGTGCTTCCGATTGTGCTCTCGGCGTTTGCCAACTCGGAGCTGGCAGCCGCCTCGGGTGGGCACCTCTCGTCGAAGCTCTACTTTGTGTTCAACCAGATTGACGTGACGCAGAAGCGCAGCATGGAGACGAGTCTCCAAGCGCTCGTACACAGTTTGCGCCTCAACGCCACGAAGATTGCTGCCGTGCGCAAGGCGCAGTCGGCCACGACGTTCCTGCGCGACTTTTGCACCGACATTACGGACGAAGTGCGCTGTGACGCGCGCTTTCTGGGTGTGACGCAAGGCCAGACGACGCCGCCCAACGATGTGCCCTTGCCCGACTTTGGCGACCGTCTTGTCCGCTTTCGGGACCACATTCACACTCGGGCTATGGACGACGGCGCGTGGCAGGCGCGGACCTTTGGCAAGCTCAGCGAGAGCTTTGACTTGGTCTGGATGTGCCTTCAGAGCGCCGACTTTGAACTCGACTTTGCATCGACGCACCAACGTGTCGTGTACGATCAGCTGGTCGAGGCCATGGCAGGGCACACGCACGAACTTGCCAAGATCTACAGCGAGGCGTTTGACGCGGTGCTGCAGGCGATGAGTGCCGACAGCGCAGCTAAGACGGCGCCGAACGCCAGTTGTAGCGGCCAGTACACGACACTCCTCGAAGACACGGTCAAGAAGGCCGTGGATACGCTGGACGCTGTCGTGGCCACGATGCTGCTGGAGCCCGCGTTTGCCGAGTGGGTGCTCAAGATGCAAGATTCGTGGACGGACAAGAAGCGGCACCACGCGTCGCACACGGCGCGGCTCGTCGAGTCGAAAGTGCAGCACCTGTTTGAGTTTGACGCGATCACCAAGGTCTACAAGGAGGAAATCCAAACGGCGATTGTCGACCACAACGCGACGTGCGGCCCCGAGAAGACACTGGCGGCTTTGACGGCATCTTTGACGCGATTGTGGACAAGGTGCGCAAGGCCACACCGCCACTGGCCACGCAAGTGCCAACGCTAGTGCATGCCGTTATCTACGACAGCGGTGTCTTTACGCCCGACGAGCTCCGACTCTTGGCCAGCGACGACGACGAGGTCGGAGACGTCTGGCGGCCGTTGAAACACATGCCGCAGGGTGCCGAGGCATCGCGCGAGGCAGAGGTTGTCGATGCCGTGCGCGAACGCGTGGCCAGCGACCTCGCGGAGGTCGACCGCTACGCGGACCACGCCGCGCTTTTGTGCGTGATGAACGTCAAGCATCTAGTCAACACCATGCAGTTGAAGCCGTCGGAGCTCAAGACTGGCCTTCGCACGCTTGAATTGACGCTTCAGGCCGAGCTCCAGCAGCGGCAAGAGCGCTGGGACGCGGCCAACAGCGTGGTCGCAAAGTTTGAAGCACACCGTCCGAGCATGCTTCGCTTTGCGCAAAGTGTCGCCGAGGGTCAGAAGACGGCACAGCTGCTAACGACGACACTGAACGAGTGGCTCGGACGCCACTTGAAGAAGGCGTTTGAAGAAGAAGTCGTGAGCGTTGTCGCGTCGGCGCTCAAGGATGCGCGTTGGGTGTGTACTCCCGACGCGATGCAGGCCGCCTTGGACATGGACCTCTTGCAGCTCATGCGGAAGCGGGACATTGACACTGTGCTTGACCACATTCAACGACCGGCCAAGCTTGTTGCGGACGTCACGCACCGCCTCGTATTGGCTCAAGTGCAAGCGTGCTACGTCCGCGTCGCCAAGAAGCTTGTGCTCGACGTCAAAGAGTGCATTGGGAGTGCGAGTGCCGCCGCGCGTGACGCTGTCTGCCAGCGCAGTGAAGTGTTTGTTTACACACTGCGCCTCACGCTCCAGCGCCGGCTCAAATGCAGTGGCACGAGCGCGCTGATTGAAAGCCTTCCGTTGGTTGCGGGGGACGTGATGAACTGTGACGACCAAGGACCGTCTGCGTTTGATATCGACGACGGACGCAGCATCCCGAAGAGTCTGTTGGTGTGTGTGGCCGCGCTCGATGCTTCTCTCGGACCATCGGCAGTGCTGAGCTCGACGATCACTCGGAAGATCGTCAAGGTCATCCGGAACGAGGCGTACGGTGCAGCCGACGGCATCATGCCGCGCTGTGGCAAGCCGTGTCCGCGCTGCAAGTGTCCGTGCACCAAGGCACTGGGCCATGCCTTCCGAAAGAAGGACACCAAGGCGCCAAGCCGAGCCTCTTCCAAGAAAGCCACGAGGGGCCATGTCTCCACAACGGAGGACAACACGCTCCATGACACGTACCACCAGCCGGGTGGCCTCGTTGGTGGCTACTGCGTGGATACGAAGCAGCTGTATGCACTGAGTTGTGCGGCTTGCGTGGTCGAGAACGACTACATGGTCCTTTCAAGCGGCAACCGACCGTACACGGATTTTCCAAAGGTGTACCGCGGCTGGGCCTTGCCGCGCGTGACCAAGTTCCTCCCGCTGCGCGAGTATATCTTTGCCAACTGCCAACCCGAGCTCGCGCGAAACCACAACATGCTCCAGTGCGCCACCATCCCCGCCTCGTACGCCCATGATCTTGGCGACATTGAAAAGCAACTCGAGCGTTTGCTTCGTTAAGACAGCAACAAAGTCGTACGTTTCAAACAGTACTAGGATATTTCGTTCTCCCTTCGTGCCTGTTCAAATCCAAGAAGGCCGTGCGTCCAAGAAGGGGGAATTCAGCGTTTTCGACAACAATACTTGGATTTCTAGCTTGTAATAAATGCATTGAGTCACCTACAGTATGTGTTCTAATGCAACTGCGCGGATTGAGTTGGCATTGCGAGGTGCGAAGAGGTGCGTAGCCTCCATCAACAACAGGCAAGCGACGTGTCCATCGCCTTCACTGTTACCAACTGGACGCCAAGATTCCTTCTCCGACGGCGTTTGAATCTTCAACGCAGTGGATGCGTCGCAGACACTATGACAGTGTCGATCAGCTGCAACAAGATACTCGATGCGCTCGTCGTGTGCTTGCGCTACCGGTAGCTTGCGACGTCGAGCGTGGCAGCAAGATTCCAAAATCCGGATACTAATAAAAGCTATTCGCTTATAAAGTATGGATAGCCTTTCGGGATATGGCTAACTGCAATATGAAACGGTCCACCCAACTTATCGAAGCGAATCGATTGGCAACCAATCCGGATACCTCGGCACGAGCGTCAGTCGCCAGGTTGCCGCGCAAGATGGACTTGGCCGTGCGCGTGCCGGAGGCCAAGGACCTCAAGTCGCTCGACGCAATACGAGATGTGGTCCACCCGTACGTCTTTATCCGGTATGGCGGCCACACGAAGAAGTCGCTGGTCCACAAGAAGGGCAAAGACTCGCCGCATTGGGACGTCGAGGCGCGGTTCCGTGCGATCGACTACGTCCGGCACCCCAACATCTCGCTCGAGGTGTACGACGAGGACCCGTGGGGCCGTGGCGATATGTTTATCGGTGCCTGCGCCGTCCAAGTGCCCGTCGATACGACTGCGTTTGAGCGCTGGCTGCCCATCTGGCACGGCGGCGAGCCGACGGGCAGCCTCCTCGTCCAATGCGACAGCTTTGACACGCTCGACGTCTGCGCCAACTACATCCGTCCGTCCATGTCACTCTCGCTCTCGGTTTCAAAACGCGAGTCGATCTTTGACGTCGAGACCGAGGTTGAGACGACCAAGCCGCGGTCGTTCTCGACGGCCACGACTGCCAACGGCGGGTCGTTCGACGACGTCGAAGCGTCCGTGCTGAGCGCTGTGGACATTGGCCGGCCGCTCCTGAAGAAAGCGAGCACGTCGTCTACGTCGTCCTCCTTGGCAGGTGACGCGGTCGAGCTGCCGCTCATTGACACGGACGAGCTTGTGCTGACGCTGCCGTTGGGCACTGGTGTCTACGGCTCTGTCGCCCAAGGCGTGTACCGCGGCAAGGACGTTGCGATCAAGACGTACCACCACACGAACGCGGGCACCGAATGCTTTGAGCATGCACTCGAGCTCCAAACAACGCTCCGCTCCAAGTACATTGTCCAGCTCTACGGGATCGGCTACACGCGCTGGGGGCAGCCGCAACTCGTCATGGAGTTCATGGAGGCGGGCAACTTGCATCAGTTTATCGATATGACGCACGCGTCACCGTGGTCCTCGCGCCTTGTCGCGCGCGTGCTTCAAGTCACGACCAGCGTCGCAAAGAGCATCGCGTGCATCCATAATCAAGGCGTCGGTCACTGCGACTTGCGGCCGTCCAACCTCCTCCTCGACGAGAACGACCGCGTCAAGCTGAGCGACTTTGGCCTCCCGAGCGCAGGCGCACCCGTGGGACTCGCTGTCTTCTGGACAGCCCCCGAGGTGCTGCAAGGCCAAGCGCACTCGTTAGCCGCCGACGTCTACGCCCTCGGCGTCATTTTGACCGAAATGGAGACGCTCCAGCGCCCGTACAGCGACTTTCGAGGATCGCGGAGTCGGCTTTTGCCACACGTGTGCAATGGCACGCTCCGACCGTCGCTGAGCGCCGTGTGCCCGTCGTGGTACCGGCAGCTAGCGGCCGATTGCATGGCGCAGAACCCCGCGCAGCGCCCGTCGGCTGCTGAAGTTGTCACCACCCTTGACGCGTTCCTCTCGTCCTATTGAGTTTATCTGTAAATTATTCTGGCATTTTTGCTCATGTTTTCGTGACAGACCAAGTCCTTGACATCAATCAACAGGAGGTTCCTACCAGTACACGTATGTACGACTAAAGTTACTTGTTTCTTCTCAGTCACCACCCAAGACGAATGTGGAATCGTTTGAGCGGGACTGAAATATAGATACATTTTGGCACTGACCGACGCACCGTCATTCATGCCAGGATGCGGGAGCCGTTCGGTTGTTCGTCTTGCTTGCAGGTCGTGCTGGGTGGACTGCAGCCCTGGTTCCACCAGAGAAAAATGAGAAGAAGGGCATTTCACGTTCACCAGGTCCGATTGATATCTGTCGGCACGTTGACGTCAGTGAGAAGGCGAATCTCGAGATTCCTTCAAGCTTTCGCGTGCATCCGAATAAAAATACGCACTATAGAAACCGGGTCTGGAATTCGCTTAATCCGTATGCTCAGTACCACCCCGACCGTCGTTCGTGCGGCGTTATCACGAGATGCCGCAGTTGCATTCGTCTGCTAAGCAATCTACACATACCCGACGAGCGATTCATGCATTGTGAGTAGGTCCACGCTATGCTACATCCTGACGATGTACTCATCTGTGCGAACGTACCGGCCTCAATCCGGTTCAATTTGCACGTGCACGTTGTGGGGTCATTTCCTCCGCATGGACTTGATCATCAAGGTGACCCAGGCCCATGGCCTCGTCTCACTCAAGAAGCTGCGCGCCGTGACGCACCCGTACGTCTTCATCCGCCATGATCGCCACACGAAGAAGTCGCTCGTGCACAAGAAGGGCATGGCGGCACCGGTCTGGAACGTCGAGGCGCGCTTCCTCGCCGTCGCATGGGCACCGCCAATCGAGATCCGCTTCGAAGTCTACGACGAAGGCAAGTGGGGCCTTGGCGACATGCTCATCGGCACGACGGTGTTCACGCTGCCACCCGATGCGACGTTCCTCGAGGGCTGGTTCCCGATTTACGCCGCCGACGTCATGACGGGCCATGTCTTTGTGCGCTGCGACTGCCTTCGCCACGCGCCGCCGACGCCGAGTCGAGCACACTGGCTGCCGTCCTAGTCGAAAAGCCGCGGCCAAGCTCAACGACGTCGTCCGAGGCGACCTTCCCGCTGCTGCAGCGTGACGCGCTGCGCAGCCCCAAGCGCAGCAGCAGCTCGCTCTCAAGCGTGAGCTCGGTGGGCCCTCTCCTCTCACGCCGCGGGTCGCTTATCCCAGTTGACACGCCATGGATCGAGCCGGACGAGCTCATCGTTAGCGGCAACATCGGCAGTGGGGCCTTTGGCGCAGTCGAGCGAGGCCGGTACCGAGACCACGACGTCGCCATCAAGACGTTCCACGCGAGTCTGTCAAGCGACAATACCGCCTTTGAGAAGGAGGTGCAGATCATGTACCGGCTCAACTCGGAGTACACGGTGCGGCTCTTTGGCATCTCGCAGACGCTGCGAGGCCAGCCGAGCATCGTGATGGAGTTTATGGATGGCGGCAACCTCCGGCAGTACCTCGACGCGGCCAAGCGCAAGTCGCACCACGAATTGACGTCGATGCTCTTCATTGCACTGGGCATTGCCAACGGACTCGTGTACCTGCACAAGCACCGGATCCTGCACCGCGACCTCAAGCCGCTCAACGTCCTCCTCAACCGCAACGGCGAGGTCAAGCTCGCCGACTTTGGCATTTCGCGCGAAGATGCAACCAACAACATGACGGCCGGTATTGGCACGTGGCTCTGGATGGCGCCCGAGGTCTTTGACGACTGCGACTACGGCGTCGAAGCCGACATTCACTCGTTTGGTGTCATTCTCACCGAGCTCGATACGCTCCAGCGACCGTACCTTGATGTCAAGGGCGGTCCGTTTCGTCTCCAGGAGCAGATCCGCAATGGCACGCTGCGCCCGACACTGCGTCCAAATTGCCCAATGTGGTACCAACATCTGGCCGCCGACTGCATGGCGGCTGACCCCGTCGATCGACCGACGGCCGCCAAAGTGGCCAAGACCCTTCGCCAGCACATGGGCTGGCCTTGATATCGCACGTTTTACACCATCGGAACCGGATGCGTCTTTTTAACGTTAAATGTCATGCGGAATGCGCTAAAATGCACCAAACTTGGAAACAACAACCTCAATAGAATGTATTGTCGACTGTATCCAAGAAAGTAATATCGCTCACTTCATAACGACCATCTGCCCAAAGCTTCGTGGCAGTCTAAAGATGGCATATGCCGAAATTAAAGACTGCATATTGCACAGCAGGTAGCTCTTGCTATAGACCTCCCTCGACGACGTCGCATAGCGTTTTGGGACCTCCCAAGCACGCTCTATCACCCTGTCAAAATGGAGCGACATTTTTTTCCAGCTCGATTTGATCGACCTCGGGATCAAACCTTGGGCAGGCCTTGCTTTGGCATCGTTGTGATTGGTCAAAAATCAGAAATATGTGACTAATCAAATGTTTTTCTGCGCGTCGCGTCAAGCAAGGGTCGAGCTCAGTGCGATGACATTTCACCCCGATCTTTAGACCACGAGGTCACACCTCGCGGTTTAGAGATAAAAATGTGCGCTTTGCTCGGACACAAACAACGAACCGGTTGGGTCCTGCGATGGCACTCGACGTCTCGCTCGTGCAAGCCCATCACTTGCCAGTGCCCCGTCATCACGTTTTTTGGTGAACAACTCGGTCAAGGTTGCTTGGTACATCCACAGTCCATATCCACTACCGACAGCATCCCACGATGCTGTTGGTGTTTCGGTCGTTTGTTCCGTGTGTCGGAGCGGCTGCACATTTGGCTGTACCGCGTAAAGCACAGCAGTGGCACGTGATTGACGTGAAGCTATTGAATGTCTCGACGACGACTGCAGAGAACTAGTGTATACGTTTTATTACAAGAGAAAGGTTTCCTTGTGTAAATCAAGCCCGTAGGCGTATGCTTGGGCTTGCACATGCGCTGCCAAGCCCGGTGGGCCGCACACGAGGACACACGTCTTGGTGCCTGCATACGGCTTGAGGAGATCGTCGATGCGAGGTCGACCAAAGGCGTACGAGAGCGACCGCTCGTCCGACAAAAGTACGCGACCATGTTCGGTCACTTCGTCTGCGTACAGACGGAGGTTGTCCGTGGTCGGTGGCAAAAACACCGATGGGGCGAGAAACTCGGACGGGGTGCGGACGATCCAGTGCAGTGTCGTCGTCGTCGCCTTGGCGGCTTTCTCCTGCTGGTTGAGAATGTGCAGCAACGGCGTGACACCGATGCCACCGGCGATGAGCAGCACCGTGTCGTACTCGTCGAGGTCGATCGAGAGGTTGCCGTACGGTCCACCGACAACGACCGTGGTCTCGAGTCCAACAAGCGACGTATAGACGGCATCCACAAAACTACCGTCAGTCGTCGCCTTGATGACAAAGCCGATGGTTGGCGCGCCAGAGGCATCGATAGTGGCCATGGCCGAGAACGGATGCCACTGCAGCCACGAAATCGACGGGATGGCCACCCAAAAGTACGCACCGAGCGGCATCGCTCGGGCCCACACCTGGGTTTGGGGCGTCGACGGGAGCACGATCGTGACCGTCTTCTCTGCATGGCTACTCAAGACAACGCGGAACCGGTTCCAATGCGAGCGAAGCCGCCAGAGGTAGCTGCCAACGTACAGCGTCAGCGGCAAGACAAGTGAGAGCCACACGGTTCTTGCGTGGAGGCACGCAAGCACAATGCCACAAGCGGCCGCAACCCGATGGACGTAGTAGAAGAGCTCGAAATGATTCCGGCGCACGAACGGTACAGCAAAGAGACCGAGCACGGCAAAGCAGACGAACGCACCAAAGCCGTAGAGAGGCACGACGCCTTGGCTGCCGTAGCTCACCACCGAGAGGACGCTGATGCGCTGCGCGTTGAGGTAGAGGTGCCACGCGGCGAAGACCACAAAGAGACGACCAAGGACGCGGTGAAACTTGAGCACACGCTCAAACGACGAGCCAAAGACAAGCACTTCCCAGTGCAAGCCGCGCGCGACGGGAAGCAGCAAGAGCATCAAATGCACGAGCGCGAGGTGGCCCGACACCAGCGACCACGCGCGCGAGGAATCAAAGGACGCCGCGACCGCCGCGGCCACGAGGCCAAGGCACCCGAGATAGTGCAAGAGCACGATGGCCTCGCCAACCTTGAGATCGCTCAGCGGTTGCAGAAACCACGTCTGGAAAAAGCTGACAGTACGCTGGAAGCGCGGCGGTGCGACAAAGGTGGCATTGAGCCACCGACGCAGCGGGTACGCAAACACGTGAGTGGCGACGAGACCCAAGAAGACGAGCCACACCACAAGCGTCAGGACAATGTAGAGTGTCGACGTCGAGACAGCCGAGGGCGATGCCGACGACGTGAGCTGAAGCGACTGAAACGTGAGGAGCGACGAGCCACGGTCGTGATGGTAGGACGGCCACGCGTCATGGCCATACGCCCAGTTCACAATGACGTCAGCATCGGGTGCAATAGCGACGTCGGTGGCGATGGACGCCGCGAGCCGCCGTTGAAACGTAAACTGCGCCGTGCCATTTGCAATCGAGGCCGAGTAGAGATCGAACGAGGCCGCGGTTGTTGCGAGCGGCAGAATGTCGTCGGGCTCGTAGCCCGTGAGTGCAAACAACGATGGCGTGGGCTGTGTAAAGTCAAACACAACGGCGTTGTTGACAGGATTGTTGACCATCTGCGCGTTGGGCGCCAGCGAGAGCCCGAGCCACGTGGCCTTGGCGTCCGAGAGCACGAGCTGGATGCACGCTTGGCCGTCGTAGACGAGGTGCTTGATCTGCAGTCGTCCACTTGGGTCCAGCGGCTGCAATTTCCGGCCGTGCTGGAACCACTTGGACGCACAGAGCGAGGTTGAGCCAACAACGCTGCGCGCGAGGGCAACGCGCGCGCTGCCCCGGTCCTGATGGTACGACGGCCAGGCATCGTGACCGTACGCCCAGTTGAGGATCGTATCCGGTCGCGTCACATCAATGGCCACGTCCGACGACGCTACGGCCGCCAGCGACCGCTCGTACGTGAGCTGCATGACGCCGTTGACGGACGATGCGGCAAAGATGCGAAGATGCGACTGGTCGACCAGGCGCAGCATGAACTCCGGATCAAAGCCGGTGAGTGCATATGCGGTGGGTGCGTTCTTGCCGTCAAACACCACTGCGTTGTTGAACGGGTCGTTGACCATGTTGGTCGAGTTGGAGACCGCAAGGCCCAGCCACGTCGCCTGTGGATCGTGCAGCTCGGCGTGGATGCAGATGCGCTCGTCGTTGGCGAGGGTCTTGTACTGGATCGGGCTCTCGCCGAGAGTGAGTAGCGGGAGCGCTGCAAACGTCGGCGACGCGCATAGACTCGGTGCCTCGATGACCGTGTCGATGCGGACGCTGGCCGAGCCGCGGTCCTGATGGTACGATGGCCACGCGTCATGGCCGTACGCCCAGTTGAGGATCGTCGGACGATCGAGATCGATGCGCACGTCGCCTGCGACGACAAGCGGCCGCTGGAACGTCACTTGCAGTGTGCCATTCACGCGTGCGTGCGAGTGCACGCGAACCGCTGCATTCGAGGATTGCCGCGTGAGAAACTCGGGCTCGTAGCCGCCGAGCGAGTAGACACCGACGTCGCCAGCTTGAGCGTTGAAGATGACGGCCGCGTTGGTCGGATCGTTGACCATGGCTGCTGTCGGCGAAACTGCGAGGCCGAGCCAGGTTGCCTGGGCGTCGTCCAGTGCGACTTGAAAGCAGACGTCGGTGGCGCTGGCGAGGCTCTTGAAGCGGACGGCGCCATCGCCGAGCGGCCTCAGCGGGAGGCGCTGGAACGTCGCCGAGTCGCAAAGGCCAGCACGACTGCTCGCCGCGGCTGCGAGGACCGGAAGGCAGGTCACGACCCAAGGCGTCCAGTGCATGGTCAAATCCAGAATGCGGATCCACAACGGGTCGAGTTTGTCTGCGCTGGCGAAATGCGTGCGTGCGATTGGCCCATTCGGAATGCTCCATTGCCGCTGATTGGTGGCGCATGACACGATGTCAGCTGTGACGGTCCCACGTACGTTGTGAAATAGTGTTATACAAAGGGCGCGCGTCCAACGCTGGTGTTCACGGACCTTCTTGTCCGAGCTGTGAGCTGGGTGGTGGAGACGCACAGAAGACAACCGTGCTCAAGCGCCTGTCGCTTTTACTGAGCCGCCAAGCAACCGAACCTGTCGCCTCAATGTGGAACTGGGTTTGGCACGGTAACCACGCAAGACGACTTGTGGGATGCGTCTGGAGCAATCGCAGACCAACATATAGAGAGCGGTTGTCGTTGTCCTCCATTGTACATGTAACCACATAGCTACGCTTGATTCGGTTGCATCCAAGCATCAAAGTCGGCCAAGGCCAAGATGCGATGTCTCATTTCATTAACTCATTCACGTGCATGGATGGGCATTTATCAAAGAACCGTTGCATGCAGCGTGCTACCGAGGCCATAGACTGGTAGTACTACGGTACGCGCTCACTATTGCCGCAGTTGCCTTGGGTCGTGCCATGTGGGCCGTGCACAGGCTTCCATTTCGATCGTCGATGAAGGGCTGACGTCGACGATTGCAGTTCGCATTCGCAAGAAAATGAGGGCCTGTGCTACATTAATGTCCAAGGCTTGGACATTGCCACAAGTGATGTCCCGACAGATGAAAACATTCAACGTATCGCCCGCTACCGTACGAGGTTGTAGGGTCATCTAACCGTTCCTAGGATGCAAATCGCACACTATTTCATGTATTTTGGCTTCCACGTTGAAGGCAACGACCCGTGGTAGTAAAAACGTGGGCTTCGGTGTCCTTCGGGGAAGCTACCTCGCTCGGTCGTCCTTTCTAAAGCAGAGTAAACGATGCGCATCGGCTCCATCTACGCCATTGACAACGAAATGTAAAGCTACTCCGACGGATATAGTGTTTTGCTGCTTGAGAGAGCGGAGCGACCTTCTTTGTGCCCCTCGCTGGTGCCTAAACTTTCGACTCTTGCTCTACAGTACTCGTACGCCTTGCTGTCGAGAACTACCTACGCTCGCATCGACGGTTTAGCTTGTCATGCCCTTTTCTAGCCTCTTACGGTGCTTTTTTCTTCAAGCTAGTCGATGGATAGCCTGAACGTGACACGGTGTGAGGTTCCTGCGACGACCTCCACCAGTTGCTGACAGCCCGGTGCTTTGCTCATGCCATCTCCCTTCTTGATCTATCGCTAGTGGTAAATTAAGTTCCATGGACGCTAGAGACGGCCCATTTGGGCATGTTGCGGAGCGAAATCGTATGCTGCTTGTTGTCGGTCAACGCTGCCAACCCATGTTCACCGTCACATTTTTTGTAAATTAATCGTGGTGCTGCTCCTCCTCATTGTCGTGGCGTTCGAGGCACAGCCACGCGAGGTCCGGGAGGCGCTGCGCGGCCGTGCGGCATTCTTCGAGCTCCTCCGGTGTCTCGACCGTGTCACCAATGTGCACCTTGCCTTCGCGGTAGGTACACGCCTCGAGCGCCGAAATGATAGCGAGCGCGCCATCAATGCCAAACGGGTTGTCGTGGAGGCCCATCGTCTCCATGTGGCACGTCTCGGGAATGACGCGGCTCAAGGCCATCGCGCCGTCAAACCCAATCCAGTTGTCCGAGATGTCGACCGCGTCGAGGCGATGGAAGATCGTCGCAAGCGCATGGGCGCCGATGGACCCAATACGGTTGCCCGGAAGGTCGAGCACCTTCAGCGCCTTGCAGCGCGGAATGACCGCGGCGAGTGCGATCGCACTGAGGTAGGTACAGTCTTGGTCGACGAGGCGAAGGGCTTCAAGGCGTGGGCAGCTCGGGAGGACATGGGCAATCGCCAAGACGCCCTCGTCCATCAAATTCGAGGCTTCCAGATCGAGGTACAAGAGCTGCGGCAGAAGCGTCGCCAAGTGCGGCAAGGCGGGCGGCGGCACGACAAACGGCGTGAGCTCGAGTCGCCGCAGCTTGCTGAGACGCGTGAGCGCTTCGACAAAGGCGACGCTTTGCTCGATCTCTTCGGGAATCTCTTCTTCAAAACTGAGGTTCAGGCCGAGGATGTTGGCGCCACGGAGCGTGCCAATGATGACCGGGAGGTCGTTGTAGCTGCACACCTCCATGCCCAAGGACTGGAGCTGCGGTGGCAGCGTCGACCTGGCGTAAAAAAGGCCCGTGGGGAGGCTCCCAAAGCGCAAGTCGAGCTCCTTGAGGGTCGTCGAGGCGCAGAAGGCGTCGCAGAGTATCTTGAGGCACTCCTCGTTGAGCCAGAGACCGTCGAGCTTGATAAACTCAACTGGCCGGTGCGCGAGCCAGGCCGCAAATGCAAGCACCGTCGGCTTGGTCCACTCGACGCGCGAATTGACGTACTCAATCACAAGGTTGGTCACCTGCGACGCGCCAAGCGCCTGCATGAGCGCGAGCTGCTGCTTGTGCGTCGCGGCGTAGTGCCAGATCATGTCGACTTCGCGCAGCACAGGAAGGATCGTGAGCGCGTAGCAGAAGCGGTCCAGGTTCGCCTGCGTCCAGACATCGACTTCGTCTTCGTTGTCGTGGTCGTCGGCGAAGTCGAGCTCGATGCTGGCGACGCGCCGGCCCCACGTCTCGAGCGCCGCCTTGAGCTGGCTCGGCGTTGCAATCTCAAGCAGCTTGAGCTTGGTCGTGGGCGGCATCTCGTACGTCGGCGTCGCGTTGTGCACCGTGTCAAGGCACACGATCGGATGCAGCCCCGCCGCCATCTCGACCCAGCGCTGCAGCTCGGCGTCGGCGAGCGTCGTTGGCATGAGAAACTCGGGCCAGAGGCGCACGTGGTTCGGGTACAGCGGGTCGCCGACGGGCACGACGAGGCGGCGGCTGCGCACCGCGCCGTAGAGCGAGAGGAGCGCCCGGAGCGGCGCCGATAGCCACGCCGTCGGGAGCGCGCGCAGGAAGGAGAGCATGTCCTTGGACGTCATGATGTACTCGGCGACGCGCTGGAAGAGCTCGGGTAGCAGCACATGCTGCTCGGTCGTCGCGACGGCCTCGTCCATGCTCCTCGTGGGCTTGCCGACAAAAATGGGTTGGCGACGACCCAATTTTGGCCAATCATTGATGTGCACGTTTGGGATTGGTGGAAAATACAACATGACGTGGCAGGCTCCAACGGCGTTGTGGCGGCACGACAGGCGGTGCCGGAAACGGCGTCGACAATTCCTATGCTTGGCTCTTGCCATCAAAAGAGCTCCAATACCCGTATATAGTACCCCTCAGAGCTAGGGGTAGCCATGAGATCAAACGATACTGCGACTCCCAACCCATCAAGTGACTGCATCAAATCCATTGTCGGCAGGCATCTATGGTCCCTGCTTGCCATGATGTTACGGTCGTTGTTGCGGTCAATGACCGACAATCAAAAAGAGTCATGACATGTATGTATTTAGAACGAGTGGACATCGAGTTTTACCCACGCACGGTTCGGGAGCGCCGCCGCCCACTCCATGCACCGTTCGATGTCCCCAGCTTCGTCGACGGTATTGCAAAGGCCCACAGTACCGCGTCGATCGATGGACGATGTGATCATGGAGTCAATGATACTGATGATACCGTACTTGGCGATGGGGTTACCCGACAATTCGAGATCGGTCAGGTGTGCCGTGGCATCGATATGATGCGCCAGCATGAGCGCGCCGTCGACATCGATGCCGTTGGCGCGAAGCAGCAAGGCGTCGAGCGACCCCACAATCGGCAGCAAAGCGATGAAACCTTCCGTGCCCAAGTTGTTGTACGACAGCTGGAGCGTCTTGAGCGACGGGCAGTGCGGAACGACAGCGGCGAGTGCTTCCGCCGTGAGATACGTGCACCCTTGGTCGACGAGGCTCAGATGTCGGAGCCAACGGCACTGGGGTAGTGCCCACACTGTTGGAATCACACCGGGATCGCCCAGAGTGCTCCGATGCAGCTCCAATTGCTCGAGGCGCTGCATCGGCGCCAAATCGATAGGGGGCATGTTCACGCCACCAAGCTCGAGCTGACGAAGGTTCTGCAGACTCGCGAGTACGGAGCGCAGCGCGAGAGCCGTAGGGTCGTCGAGGGGCTCGTCCCAGAAGAGGGATACGTGGCGTAGGTTGGTGCCGCGGATGACGCGCAAGACGCTGACAACGTCCCGTTCGTGCTCGACAACGGCCTCGAGTGTCTCGAGCTGGGGGGGGAGTGCTAGTCGCCCCACCTTTAAAAGGAATGGTTGATGCACGATGATGGCAAAGAGCATACGGGCTAGGGTCCCCTCCACCTTGAGGACCTTCAGCGTTCGCAATTGCAGAATCGCAACCGAGAGTCGGGCCGCGTCAAGCTTGCACAGAGGCAGATGTCCGAGCTCGAGGGATGTTATGGGTGCGGAGCGAATCCATCGCACAAAGGCCTTGCCCGTCGCCTCGGACCACGTGATGGCGCTGTCGTGGTAGTGCACTGCCAGGCGCGTGATGCTCGAGCAGGCAAGCATCTTGACAAAGTTTGTTTGGAGCTCGGTGCCTCTCAATGGAAGCCAGTCGGCACGGAGCTCTCGCAATCTCGACATTCGACGTATACAGTCAAAGGCGTGGGGCGGCCACGACCCGTCGCAGCAGTCACGGATGAGGACACGCAACTCCTCGACGTTCCCGAGATCCGCCGCACGCTCCAGCTCGTCCACAAAGTTTGCTGGATCGATGCAAAGGTTGGTGCCTGGTGGAACAAAGTCCGAGATGCTGCGTCCGACGTGCGTCGTGATGCGCGGCAGCATTAAAAGGTACGTTCTGAGAAGCACCACAAGCTGCGCGTCTGCTTCCGAGCGGGGCAGTGGCGCGTCCGTGAACGACGTGGGTAGTTGTACTTCGGGCCAGAGCTGCACCATCTTGGGCTGCTTTGCGCTCGTGTCGGCGAGGCGGCCGTCGCGCACGCAGGCGTAGAGCTCGTGCAAGGCGGCCATCGGCGGCGTCAACCACGCTTGCGGCAGCGCCGTCACATAGACGTGCATCTCGTTCGACGAGCTAAAGTACTGCGCAATGTGCTGCAGCGTCTCGGCTGGCAGGGGCGGCGCCGTGTAAGCCATCGTCGCGTCGTGTGTCAAGTTGCGGAATGACGCCAAGTCGCTCCGGTTCACATCGTATCGTCAGTGTGTTTTTCTGTCCTGCATAGAATTGTAAAGGCATATCTTGCGTGGTGTAGAAGGCGTTGTAACAATTCTGTGGAGATGTGGTAAAGTGCAATTTCAGTACCGGTAAAATATCAATAAGCAAGGGATGTGATTCGCTAAGAAATGTATCAAGTACAAACGAGCACAAAACGTTAGCTCGTTCTGCGGCCCCACTAGATGCCATGCTGCAGGACATATCCATGTCGGATCATGCTTAAATGTCGACGTCCTTGGGTGGTGCATAGCTATGGAGTGCTCAGGTTCTCTCTCCGTGTCTGACCCCAAGAAATTAACTAGAGTGCATGGTGGAATTCGAGTTGACAACAACATGGTCGTCGCGTGTCCACTCGATTCCGAGTTGATACTTTCAATCAACTCCACACTGAACCGACGTCCCTCAGACGATCAAATATGCTGTCGCGAGGCCCGATTGGCTGAATATAGCACGAAGATGTGCTTGTCCGCCTGGCAGCAGTGGTTCTTTGGACCCTTGAAAGCGAGAGCGACAAGGCAATGGCCGCTCGACAAACCAATATGCTCTTGAGCCATACGCGCATGCCAAATGAAGTGCTGCAGCACATCGCTCAGTGCCTGCAAGACGGCAAGGCGATGCATGCTTTTCTGTCGGCGCTGCCAGACGCGTGGCTCACACCGCCCATGGCCGCGCTCGCCACGCTCTACAAGGCCGTCCGCAGCGACCAGCTCGCCGATACCAACATGACGTGGCTTTGGCCCGAGCTGGACATGCGGAACCTCACGTCCATCCCCGACGAGTTCGCTCCAGCCTTCCATGCCTACGCGCCGATGCTACCGAGGCTGCAAGCCGACATCAAGTTCCATCGCCATCTTCGCCTTCCGCGAGACACTCCAGTAGCGCGGAAGTGTATCGTGTCGGCCAAAGAGCTCGCAACAGCTCTCAACGACTGGGCGGAGCAGCTGCAGATCCTCGCACTAACCCAGGACCCCGACGCTTTGCCGACGCAGCACCTCTACAACGCGCTGCCCAGGCTACCCAAGCTCCGTCACCTCGACGTCCGGTGGCATGCTGGCACACACGCAGAAGAAACTACGGTCCTTCTCCATGCTCTCAGCGACTACTCAAACGTCACGGAGCTCTGGCTGCGCTACGATCCGAACCCGAGCTCGCCGCAGTGGACCGCGACCGAGGTCACGGCGCTTGCACGATGGCTCCAGGCCAAGTCCGTCACCGCGGTCGGTCTCGTGGATGCCCCCATCGGCGATGCGAATGCAAAAGTGCTCGCACGCGCGCTGCTGCAATCACAAACACTCAAGTCCCTCCACGTCGATGACGGACAATTGCCGCGCACGCTCTTCAGCCTCGGGCTGTCGCTTCCGACCCAGCTCGAGTCGCTCAACACCTACGTGCGACACATCCATGATGTGCCGGGCCTCACGCAGACCATTGCTGGCTCCAACCTGCGCACGTTGGTTGTCGGAACGGTGGTCCCGCTGGAATGGGACGCGATGCTGGCAACGAACCTCATGAACGCCATCACGAGCCTTCCGCGGCTGCGGCATCTTTTCCTGGACCACACAGCGCTCCCACTGCCGTCGGTCGTGCGACTGAGCGAGCGACTACCTTCGCTCACAACTCTGCGGCTGTATGACACGAACCTCGATGACGCTGGCGCGGCTGTGCTCGCCCGTGCCCTTCCTAGCTGCCGCCATCTCGAGACGTTGGAGCTCATCGAGGAAAAATGCACGTACGTTGCTGCAGAGCTTTTTGGCCAAAAACATCCCGTACTGTCCATCGCTCAAGACGCTCAACTTGGATGGCAGCCCGATTGGCTCGAGCGGCCTTGTCGCATTGCTTCCCGTCGTGCGCTGCCTCGACACTCTCAGTCTGCCTGGTTGCGGCATCGACGACGGCGGTGCGGCGGCGCTTTGTCGTGTGATGGACTCGACCGACCACCTCTTGAAACTCG